TGGATTAACATAAAACAGAAGTTTTATTTTCTTGTTTTCTATCATATTTTTAGAAAATGTTGATGTTTTACAATAAGGAATAAAAGTGAAGGATGAAATGAGAAAACATTTTTATTTAGAAAACAATAAAAGCAGGAGATTCTTCCAATCGGCGCATCATGCAGTTCATTTCATAAATCTGTTTGATGTCTGAATAATTTTAGGTATATTTTTCATCTTTCACTGAGAGCGATCTCAGTTTCTGTTTTTGGTTTTTTAGTAGCAGATGGTCGTCTGGTTCTGGTCACTCCTTCATGTTAACCACCAGAACCATCTGACGGGCCGGTACCGCTGCCAGAATACCTGCTGGAGTCGCTCTGATCCCGAGGTGAAGCAGAAATAAATTCTCCACCTGCAGCAACGTTTCCTCCGTCTGTCTGTGACAGGGTTGCTGCTCTTCTAATGGAGAATATCTAACGACGGATTCCTGCTGGAGCTGGAGGAAATTATATCAGATTTAAACAAATTATATCAGATTTAAACAAATTATATCAGATTTGAACAAATTATATCAGATTTAAACAAATTATATCAGATTTAAACAAATTATATCAGATTTAAACAAATTCTATCAGATTTAAACATGTTCTCAGGTTTAGTTTAACCTAAATTCCAGGTGAACAAAATCAAATATTAACAGTTTTTTATTACTAAACTAAACAGGTTTTGTTCTGTAATCAGGAGGTTAAATCTCACTGCAGGAACAGTTTGTTGCATTCCTTCCACCGTATGAGCTCAGCACTTCATACCACACACACACACACACACACACACACACACACACACACACCACACACACACACACACACACACACACACACACACACACACACACACACACACACACACACACACAGTGAGTGTTTGAGATGAAGGCCTGGTCCAGATAAACTGAAGTGTTGGGCTAAATGTGGAAGCCAGCGCTGATAAGACGAACCGGCGTTGGACCATCAGGCGGTTCGCAGCGAGGCGTTCGGGCTCAGTCAGGAGAAGTTAGAGGTGAACCAACATCCTGGAAGGTTTTTAAATATCAAAAGCAAGAATCCATTCCTTCAGGGTCAAACGTGACGAATCTGCAGAGGTTTGAATCCAGAAAAACTCAGAGGGAACGTCAGGACTTGGAATCGTTTCCTGGAGAAAAGAGGAAGGCTGGAGGTGAGGAAGACTCTGCTGGACATGGAGGGACAGCCGGAGGTCAAGTGAGTTCAGGAACCAGATTCAGGTCAGATGGAAGTGATTTCACAGATAATGGAGAAAAATTAGAGGAAAATTATCCCTGATGAGAATCAACATGGAAGCAAACAAGGTCAAACTGTGACCTTGAAAATATTCATAACAGCAGAAATATTATGACATGTTTCAGTTTTTATTAATTAAACTTCATTTTGTCGTAAGAGCTGAACATGTGGATCATGTATGACCAGGCAGCGTTCTCCTCTTCATCACCAACCAGCCGTTACATTCATATTCTGTTCAGAAAAATAAACATATTTGTAATAAACTGAAGTTTTTCCACAGAAGAGACAAGAATGGAGGCAGAAAACGACTCGACTGCTGCAGCCTCAGACGGAGGGAAGGAAAAACTGCAAACAGAGGAGGGAGAAAGAGGAGGAGCTTCAGGAGGAAGAGGAGGGTGGAGGCGATGAAGAGGAGGGTGGAGGCGATGAAGAGGAGGGTGGAGGCGATGAAGAGGAGGGTGGAGGCGATGAAGAGGAGGATGGAGGCGAGGAAGAGGAGAGTGGAGGCGATGAAGAGGAGGGTGGAGGCGATGAAGAGGAGGATGAAGGCGATGAAGAGGAGGATGGAGGCGATGAAGAGGAGGGTGGAGGCGAGGAAGAGGAGGGGAGGCGATGAAGAGGAGGGTGGAGGCGATGAAGAGGAGGGTGGAGGCGATGAAGAGGAGGGTGGAGGCGAGGAAGAGGAGGGTGGAGGCGATGAAGAGGAGGGTGGAGGCGATGAAGAGGAGGATGGAGGCGAGGAAGAGGAGGGTGGAGAGACAAAAACAAAGAAACATTTGGGACTTTGGGAATCTGAGGTGAGAATCTGATCTGCAGCTTTATGACTTTTAACTTCAACTTTTTACTGAAGGTTGAAACAAGATTTGTAAATTATCTTTAAATTTGTCAAAAACGGATCCATTATAGTTCAGGCTGGAGAAGAATTTGATCAGAACCCTGAGAGCAGCAGAACCTGCAGCCGTTCGGTTCTCCTGACCACCGAGGACAATCTGATCGGCCTTCCTGTTCTCCAGCGTTAGAGAACAGGAAGGCCGACAGACTGCGGCTGCGTTGCCCTCGGCGTGTCGCTCCGGTTTCTGATTTCATCCTTTCATTCAGCGTTTCCTGAGTGAACGTATGACTTCATCAGTTTCCTGATGAACGCCCCGTCACTCGGTCGCTCCAGTTTCTTCTTCATGTGTTTCTCCTGCTGGTCCTCCAGGCTGCTGCCGACGTCAAGCCTCCGCTGCCGGATCCAGAGTTTAACCGCCGATGCAGTTTGATCCTCAGTGATGTGAGTTGAAAACGTTTCAACCATTTTAAGATGATCTTCATCATCTGGCAGAATCTCAGCAGGTTCCAGCACAGCAGTTACAGACTTTGACTAGGCCTTTGCAACACCTTGATTTATTTTTCATTCCAGCGTTTGTTATGGGGCGGTTCTAGTGACCCGGTTCTGGTGACCCGGTTCTGGTTACCAGGTTTCGGTGACCCGGTTCTAGTGACCCAGTTCTGGTGACCCGGTTCTGGTGACCCAGTTCTGGTGACCTGGTTCTGGTGATCTGGTTCTGGTGACCCAGTTCTGGTGACCCGGTTCTGGTTACCAGGTTTCGGTGACCCGGTTCTAGTGACCCGGTTCTAGTGACCCGTTCTGGTGACCCGGTTCTAGTGACCCGGTTCTGGTGACCCGGTTCTGTTGACCCGGTTCTGGTGATCCGGTGACCCGGTTCTGGTGAACCGGTGACCCGGTTCTGGTGACCTGGTTCTGGTGACCCGGTTCTGGTGACCTGGTTCTGGTGACCCGGTTCTGGTGACCCGGTTCTAGTGACCTGGTTCTGGTGACCCGGTTCTAGTGACCTGGTTCTGGTGACCTGGTTCTGGTGACCCGGTTCTGGTGACCCGGTTCTAGTGACCTGGTTCTGGTGACCTGGTTCTGGTGACCCGGTTCTGGTTACCAGGTTTCAGTGACCTGGTTCTGGTTACCCGGTTCTGGTTACCAGGTTTCAGTGACCTGGTTCTGGTTACCCGGTTCTGATTACCAGGTTTCAGTGACCTGGTTCTGGTGACCCGGTTCTGGTGACCCGGTTCTAGTGACCCGGTTCTGGTGAACCGGTTCTGGTTACCCGGTTCTGGTGACCGGTTTCGGTTCGGTTCAGATGGTAAAATGTTCCCTCAGATGCAGGATGTGGGAGGAGTTGATTCAAGCTCAGCAGATACAGCGTGCTTTAAATAGGCCGTTGATGCTAACAGCCACTCAACCCCAAAATAATGTTGTTTCCATGGAAACGTCAGTCATTTCACAGATGTGTTCATTTTCCATCAGGAAAAACAGCTGGAGGAGGAAATCTGCCTTTTGAAAACTCTTCTGTTTCTGTAGCAGTCAGTGTTGCAGCGGTTCTGGTGCTTGTGTGCTAATGCTAGCGCTAGCTGTGCTGTGCTGCAGGTCTGGTATAAGGAGGACTTGGAGAAGATGAAGGGTCAGAGTCTGTTTGTCCCCGGAGCCGAACTCATCCACTCCAGGAACATCAGCGCCGTGATCTCTGAGGTCTGAACTCACCGTGAAGGTCACATGACCTTCTGCTTCCTGTTAGCCTGACGCTCTCCGTTTCCAGTCCAAGTACAAGGAGGACGGGAAGAAGGAGGCGAATCTGTCTCTGTACTCCATCCTGCCTGAGACTCCAGAGACGCAGCGCGCCAAGGAAGCTTCAGAGCTGCAGAGCGAGGTCCAACGTCTCCACCAAGAACCAGATGACCAGATAACCAGATAACTAGATAACTAGATAACTAAATAACCAGATAACCTGATAACTAGATAACCAGATAACTAGATAACCAGAAAACTAGAAAACCTGATAACCGGATAACTAGATAACCAGATAACTAGATAACTAAATAACCAAATTACCTGATAACTAGATAACCTGATAACTAGATAACCAGATAACTAGATAACCAGAAAACTAGATAACTAAATAACCAGATAACTAAATAACCAAATAACCTGATAACTAGATAACTAGATACCCAGATAAACAGATAACCGGATAACTAGATAACCAGATAACCAGAAAACCGGATAACTAGATAACCAGATAACCAGAAAACCAGATAACTAGATAACCAGAAAACCAGATAACCAGATAACTAGATAACCAGATAACCTGATAACTAGATAACCAGATAACTAGATAACCAGATAACTAGATAACCAGAAAACTAGATAACTAAATAACCAGATAACTAAATAACCAAATAACCTGATAACTAGATAACTAGATACCCAGATAAACAGATAACCGGATAACTAGATAACCAGATAACCAGAAAACCGGATAACTAGATAACCAGATAACCAGAAAACCAGATAACAAGATAACCAGAAAACTAGAAAACCAGAAAACCTGATAACCGGATAACCAGAAAACCTGATAACCAGATAACCAGAAAACCTGATAATCAGATAACCAGATAACCATAAAACCTGATAACCAGATACCCAGATAACCAGTTACCTGATAACCAGATAACTACATAACCAGATAACCAGATAACCAGACAACCAGATAACCAGATAACTAGATAACCAGATAACCATAAAACGGTTCAATGAGTTTCTGCAGGAACTAAAGCTGCAGCTGTTGACCTTTAGTCTGTCAGCAGATCGTTGGGTCGATACCTGAATGCGGGTCAGGATGGTTCTGGACCCGTTTGTTGGTTTTATTGGAGGAAATATTTTTATTTTCTTGTTTTTAGATCAAATACAAAGGAAACCTGAAGACGGAGATTTCTTCCTCTCTTTACTCTCTGCTGCCTGAAACCACAGAGACCCAGTTTGAGAGAGCTGACGGAGATGCAGAGCGAGGTCCGACTGGTTCTGGTTCCGTTCCAGATTGGGTCAAATGTTCATATTTAACCAATAATTCACCAATAATCCTCTGTCTGACCTGCAGAACAAATACAAGGAGGAAGGCAGGAAGGAGATGAGCAGCAGTTTGTTTTCTCAGCTTCCTGAAACCAACCAGACGCAGCTGGCCCGGACCGTCCAGGACCTCCAGAGCCAGGTACCGGACCGGACCAGAACCAGAACCCTGAGGCTGCTGAATGCAGATCCTCAAATTAACTCAGAGGTTTTCAGAGGCTGAATCTTTCAAACAGAGCAGATTTGAAGAAAACATTGAGCCTTCCTGTTAGCATCTGAAAGCCTGGATCTCTCTGAACCACAGAATGTCTCAGCATGTGGTGAAAACACATCTGACCTGATGACCTGAACATCTCGATTCTTCCTTCGTCTCATTTCCCAGTTTCAGTTCAGACCTTCTGCTGGTTCTGTTCAGACTTCAGATAATTTCCTGATCTGATTTTGTTCCGTTTCAGAAAAAGTACCAAGAAGACGGGAGGAGGAAGGCGTCCATGTCGCTGTACTCCCAGCTGCCAGAGACGCCGGAGATCCAACACGCCTTGGAGGTTTCCCAGCTGCAGAGCGACGTACGCAAACAACTGGACCCGGTCCGGCCCCGGTCCGGTTCTGGTCCAGTCTGGCTGGACCTCAGTCCGGTCCCGATCCGGTTCTGGTCCGGATCTGAAAACATGTCTTTATTTAATCGTTGCCATCCTAAATCCTGTCCCAGATCCTCCATCCTTCCTCAGGGTTCTGGGGTTCGGGTTCTGATCCGAGGTTTTTGGTTCTGATCCGAGGTTTTTGGTTCTGATCCGAGGTTTTTGGTTCTGATCCGAGGTTTTGGTTCTGATCCGAGGTTTTTGGTTCTGATCCGAGGTTTTTCACTCATTTCGTATCCAGGTTTTTTGCTCCAAGCTGCTGGGAAGAGGAGCTGCTTCCTCCCTGTACTCCCAGCTGCCCGACACCACAGAGATCCAGTTCGCCCGGGAGATGACAGAGCTGCACAGTGAGGTACCACACACACACACACACACACACACACATCCCCACACACACACACCAATACACACACACACACACATGCACACACACACACACACACACACACACACACACACACACACACACACACACACACACACACACACACACACACGCAGCAGGGCATCTGGTAAAAGTCCTGATTTATTAAATATCACTTTATTCATCTTTCCACATTTTTCCACTGATCATGTCTTTTAAATATGAGGAAATCTCCAGGATTTCTGATGTAATAATAAATAATAATAATATTTCATAAACTCCACCTGCTTGAACTCAGAATGTAACAAAATGAGATCAGGACCTTCAGATGAACTCAATGTTAAAATCTGAATCAGAAGTTTAAAATCAATCAGATGTTTTATTTAAATCCACACATTAAATAAATCATCATGAATCTTCCTTCTGGCCTAGTTAAAGTAATGTTTTGTATTTCCTGTCAGAGTAAATACAAGGAGGGCGGCAGGAAGAGCCTGTCTCAGAGTTTCTACTCTCAGCTGCCAGAAACGGCAGAGACTCAGTTTGCTAAAGGAGTTTCTGAGCTGCAGAGTGAGGTGAGAGCAGCATGACGCCCTGAAACCTGCAGCGGTTCTGCAAAACATTCAGACTGTTTCATTTCAGACCAGATACAAGGAATCCGGGAGGAAAGGCGTGAGCTCCAGTCTCTACTCGCTGCTGCCGGAGACGATAGAAACGCTTCGAGCCAAAGAGGTTTCTGAGCTCTGCAGCGAGGTACGACCCAGTGAAACCAGTGAACCCAGTGAACCAGAGATTACCCGCAAACACGAGACTCAAACTGGAAACAAGTTTCAGGATTAAAATGCGTTACTGTCTCTTTAAGCTTGCTGTTTGTTTGGGTTCGATCTGCAGCTCAAGTATAAAGAAGAAGGCAGGAAGGAAGCGAGCGTCAGCCTGTACGCCGTCCTGCCGGAAACCCTGGAGACGCAGCACGCCAAGGAGGCGTCCAGCCTGCAGAGCCAGGTCCGGCACCGAGCGCCAGCCTGGTCCTGAAACACCACGATATGTTTCCACTCAATTACAGTGATCTGAGTTATTCATGAGGTTCCTCAAGGCTGTGTCCTCGGGTCGTTTCCAGGTTTCTCTCTGTGCTGTTTGTCTAAAAACAGCTTGTTTTTGATATTTCCTCCGTTTTAAGCTTCAATAATGACATTAATACGGACAGTCAGAGTGAGAGCAGATCCCTCCTGACTCTGAGCTCGTCTTCCTGTTTCTAAATGTTTCATGTCTCTGTGGTTTGATGCGTCGTCGTCTCCTGCAGGTGAAATATAAAGAAGGCGTGAAGGAGAAGATCCAGAGCAGTTTGTACCATCAGATGCCTGAAACTACGGAAACCCAGATGGCCAAACATCTGTCAGAGCTGCAGAGCGACGTACGAACAAAAACCTTCATAGATAACTGAAAGTTTTATATAAACAGACTGGATGATCTCAGTAAATGAATAAAATCTATTTCTGTTGTTCAGATGAAATACAGAGAAGCAGGAAAGAAGCAGATCAGCAGCTGCCTTTACTCTCTGCTGCCTGCGACTCTGGAGACGCAACAAGCTAAAGAGACGACAGAGCAGCTGAGCCAGGTGAGAGCAGAGCCAGGTGAGTACCTGGAACTAACGAGTTAGTTCCAGGTACTCAGAGTAATCAGAGTAACTCGTTAGTTACAGGTACTCAGAGTAACTTGTTAGTTCCAGGTACTCAGAGTAATCAGAGTAACTCGTTAGTTCCAGGTACTCAGAGTAACCAGAGTAACTCGTTAGTTCCAGGTACTCAGAGTAACTCGTTAGTTCCAGGTACTCAGAGTAATCAGAGTAACTCGTTAGTTCCAGGTACTCAGAGTAACCAGAGTAACTCGTTAGTTCCAGGTACTCAGAGTAACTCGTTAGTTCCAGGTACTCAGAGTAATCACAGTAACATGTTTGGTCTGAGCAGCTGAAGTACCAGGAGAGCAGCAGGAAGGAAATGTCCAGCAGCCATTATGCCACCATGCCGGAGACGTCAGAGACCAGCTTCGCCAGAGAAATGAGCGACCTGCAGAGTGAGGTAAGCAGCGTCATGTGACCTGGTCAGACCCAATCAGATCCACCATGTCGACCTGAAACTCTTCCTCAACAGGAAGGCCTTTGACCTTTAACCTTCCTGTTAGACTCTTCAGCTCATATTTGGTTTAATATTAGAAATGGATTTTCAGAGCAAATGGATGAACCTTTAATGGACTAATGACTCTGTACCGTGTCATTCTTCTGAGCTAAAGTCTCATGTGCTAATGCTGTTAGCATCACCTGATTCTGAATTTCTGACATTCCTGCTTCCTTGAGATTCCAGGACAGTTTTTAACATCCAGTCAAAACCAAACAGTTTCTCTCGTGACCTGAACATGTAATCTGGTCTCCATCCTCTAGAAGATCTGCGGCTCCTTTTCTCACATTTATTTTATTCAGTGTTTGAAGCTGAAGCTCTCGGCGCAACGTCCTGCAGAGCCGCAGCGTCTCTGATGTTTCATGAATCATCGTCTGATTAGCATCACAAAGACGATCAAAGAGTCGCAGCTTTTTAACGCTGATGAGGCGATAAGCTCAGAGTTAACGAGGTTCTGCTCAGCATCGGCCCGACCTGAAAGGAAAATGTTCTGGAAGAGCAGAAATGTGTTTATGCCGCTCATGATAAACTGGATTATTAATCTCCTGTTTTGTGTTGAAGGTTAAATACAAGCAGGACGGGATGAGGAGCGTCAGTCAGAGTCTCTACAGTCGGCTGCCAGAAACGGCTGAGATGAAGTTCGTTAAAGACGTTTCTGAGCTGCAGAGCCAGGTGAGCAAACGGACCGGGTCGGGCTGCAGAACCGGCCTGAAACCCAAACCCAACGCAGCTGATCCGAGACATTCAGCCAAAACTGGAAACCAAAAGTTTATCTCATGTTTCACAACATGGATCTGAAGCTTTTCCAGGTTTTTACTAGAAAATGTCCAGATGGACATAAAAGTATGGACACAGATATTAAAACCAAAGGTTCATAGCTAGTCTATATATTATTAAAGTAATAAAGGTTTAAAAGCTCCTTTTGCTTTTTAAATGTTTGATTCTTTGCTGTTGCAGATGAGATACAAGCAGGGCAGGAAGGAAGTGAGCCGCTCGCTGTTTTCCTCGCTGCCTCAGACGCTGGAGACGATTCACGCCAAGGAGGTTTCTGATCTGATCAATGAGGTAACGAACGTTTCACTGAAACATCACAGGACCAGTCCACTCATCTCACATGTTCTCACACTAAACAATAAACCATTTTTCTACAAATCATTATTCACTGCATATGAAAAAGCAAACCTCAAAGTGTTGCTTTTACTCAAGATAACAAAATGTACATAGTTTTTTATTAATTGCTTTTTTAACCTGTGAGTTATGGTTGAGCTACATGAAACTGGACTGTGTAGCTGTAGTTTAAGGCAGTGAGCTGAGTCCTGAGCCCTGTGGGACACCGTAGTTAATTTAACTGATGATTTTTAGTTCTCTGTTTGTTTTTCCTCCAGAGGAAATACAGAGATTCAGTGAAGAGAGATCTGAGCTGCAGCCTCTTCCACCAGCTGCCCGAGACGCTGGAGACGCTCCATGCTAAGGACGTCTCTGACCTGCTGAGCCAGGTCTCTGCAGAAATGACTAAAACCTGAATCCTGTTTTCCTCGCTGCGGGATGAAGAATCTCATCATCCTTCGGTTTCTTTGTTTTTCAGGTAAAATATAAAGAAGACGGTAAGAAGGAGATGAATGTGAACCTGTACTCTGTGATGCCTGAGACCATCGACACGCAACACGCCAAGGAGGCGTCGGAGCTGCAGAGTGACGTACGGGACTTTGACTAGGACAGCAGAGTAACGCTGATCGCACAGCAGAATAAATGAATAAAACAGCAGAAAATAACAGAAACGCATAAAAAAACCAAAACTGATAAAAAAAAACATTGTTTTATTCATAGATAATAAACATTTTTCCTTATACTTATTATATTTTAAATGAAAATGAATTTCAAACATTTTCCACTTGGTGAAAATCTTGACATTAATGTTTCTCATAAAAAACATATTTCCTAATATTTGCTTATGTAATCATAATTGTTCTTATCGTCTCTTTGCTAACCAGGACAGTAATTTTATTTTGTTTTATCTGAGTAAATGTGAGATTTAATATTAAAAATAGCCTATCATTTTTGACCAATTGTTTCTGTTTTCCTGTTTTGCGATTTATTGAGTTATTTCACATTTTTTCCTTTTAATGTTAGAGAAAAGTAAAACAGCGTAAAACATATTCCTGAGGTTCTTCAGCTTTTGTAACGAATTGTCTCCTGCAGGTGAAATATAAAGAAGGCGTGAAGGAGATCCAGAGCAGTTTGTACCATCAGATGCCTGAAACTACGGAAACCCAGATGGCCAAACATCTGTCAGAGCTGCAGAGCGACGTACGAACATGACAGCTTTTCATTGGTGAAATAGTTTAGTAAAATAATCATATCATACACTATAAATGACTTTTCCAGAACTTGGTAAATATGCCTGAAAAGTCTTGTTTGAATCAGATAATTAAATCTGGTTGATGGAGAATCTTGGCTTAAATTTCCAGACTAAATACAAAGAAGCTGGAAGGAAGGAGATGAGGGTCAACCTGTACTCTCAGCTCCACAACAACCTGGAGATCCAGAGAGCGAAGGAAGCTGCAGAGCTGCAGAGCGAGGTGATGAGGATGAGGATGAGGAGGAGGATGAGGATGATCAGGATGAGGTGATGAGGATGAGGATGAGGAGGATGATCAGGATGATGTGATGAAGATGATGAGGATGAGGATGATCAGGATGATGTGATGAGGATGATGAGGAGGAGGATGATCAGGATGATGTGATGAGGATGATGAGGAGGAGGATGATAATGAGTATGAGGATGATTCTCCTAGTTTCCTTTCCAATGATATAAAATAAAATAAAATAAATTTATGTCTCTTTGTTTCAGGAGTTTCTTCTGTCAAAAACTTTACTTATAAGTCAAAAAGATGATAATTAGGTTTCCAGTGATCATAGAACAATATTTAAAAGATGTTGTCCTGTTTTTGTTTTTAAATGATTTTTAACAAAAGCAAAAGTCCTGGTGCTGAGTGGTGAGCCCTGTGGAACGCCACACGCTGTGTTTTAGCAGCATTAATGTGTCGCTTGCTGCAGTGTTTGAAAGTTTTAAATTATTTAACGGTTTATTTCTTGAACAGATTAAATACAAAGAAAGTGGGAAGAAGGAAATGAGCGGCTCTTTGTACTCGACTCTCCCTGACACTCTGGAAACCAGCTTCGCCAGAGACATGACTGACCTACTGAGTGAGGTACATTCAACTAAACACTCACGGATTCATGGTTTCTTCTGCTTCTGTGGATTATTTGTTGCTGCTGGATTTGCTCCTAGTTTATAGATTGATTTTATTTATTGATTGAAAAATCAATATGTTGATGCTCTACTTGTTTAAATGTTTCCTTTAACTCTGTAAATGTGATTTATTTGAACTGATTATCTGATGAATGAAATGGTTCTGAAGTGGATAAATGAATCTGCAGCTTTGGCTCAGTCAGATAACATGAATTATACATACATGAGTTACTTAAACATTTGTGAAAAATATGAAATAAAGATGGAGGGAGAGACTCTAATAAATTCACTTTCAATGATTTATCAATAATGATGTTTTCCCTCTGATGGTAAGAAACCAGATCAAAGAGTCTGAAATTCATCCGCTTTGTGTTATTAGATTGATGAGTTTTTACTTTTATTTTCAGTGTTTTTCATTTTGTTGCAGAATAAATACAAAGAGGACGGGAAGAGGAGCCTGTCTCAGAGTTTTTACTCTCAGCTCCCAGAAACAGCAGAGACTCAGTTTGCTAAAACCGTCTCTGAGCTGCAGAGTGAGGTAATAAAACCTTCATCATTTCAAACATCCAACCAGGAATAAGAAGCAGAATGTTATGCAGAGAAAACCCAGTTATGCAGATGACAGACGTGTTTCAGATGAATCAGTTTAAACATGGAGAACTGATTCTTTAAACGTGGAGAACTGATTCTTTAAACATGGAGAACTGATTCTTTAAACGTGGAGAACTGATTCTTTAAACATGGAGAACTGATTCTTTAAACATGGAGAACTGATTCTTTAAACATGGAGAACTGATTCTTTAAACATGGAGAACTGATTCTTTTTGTTCATAATCAGATGAAATATAAGGAATCAGGGAAGAAAGAGTCGATGAACTCTCTGTACTCGACTCTACCGGAGACTCTGGAAACGCAGCGCGCTAAGGAGGCGACGCAGCTGCAGAGCCAGGTAACCCCCAACTCTGTCCAACACTGGGACCGCGCGACCTCTGACCTCTGACCTCTGACCTCCAACAACTTATAGGACCTCATTTTGCAGGAACCGACAGAAAGAATCCTATCTGACTCAATCAGTCACTTTTTATTTCCATTGTTACTTCAGTTTATTTGTTTGATTTCCATTTACAGAATTCTAATAAGGTTGAGCTCTGAACTTTGACTGGACCATTTGCAACATTTGTTTGCTGTTTATGATCATTGATGAATCAACAGACTGGAGCATTTACTGTACAAATGTCAGTTTTCACTGCAGCCTGGTGTGTGTGTGTGTGTGTGTGTGTGGGTGTGTGTGTGTGTGTGTGTGTGTGTGTGTGTGTGTGTGTGTGTATGTCTGTGTGTGTGTGTGTGTGTGGGTGTGTGTGTGTGTGTGTGTGTGTGTGTGTGTGTGTCTGTGTGTGTGTGTGTGTGTGTGTATGTCTGTGTCTGTGTGTGTGTGTGTGTGTTGCTCCTCCAGCTGACATACAAACAGAACCAGCCGGTTGGATCCAGTCTCTTCCACCTGATGCCAGAAACCATCAACACGCAGTTTGTCCGGCAGCAGACGGAGATGCTGAGTGAGGTACCACTTCCTGTCTACTGACCTCTATTTCCTGTCTGCTGACCTCTACTTCCTGTCTACTGACCTCTACTTCCTGTCTACTGACCTCTACTTTCTGTCTACTGACCTCTATTTCCTGTCTACTGACCTCTACTTCCTGTCTGCTAACCTGTACTTCCTGTCTACTGACCTACTACCTCTACTTCCTGTCTGCTGACCTGTACTTCCTGTCTGCTGACCTCTACTTCCTGTCTGCTGACCTGTACTTCCTGTCTGCTGACCTCTACTTCCTGTCTGCTGACCTCTACTTCCTGTCTTGGAGCTTCCATCTGTGACTGTCTGATCCTGCAGGCCTGAAGCTTAGTGAATGATTCTGTCTGGTTTCCCGACCAGGTGAAGTACAAAGCAGACGGGATGAAGGATCTGAGCCTCTCTCTCTTCTCTCTGCTTCCTGACTCTCTGGACATGCAGAGAGCCAAAGAGCTGACGGAGCTGCAGAGCCAGGTGGGAACACCGTCTTCCTCTGAACAACATCCAGAGGAACCTCATCCTTCCTCCTTCAGCTAACAGCATCATGCAAACTGGATATTTCTCAGTTCTGTTTTAGTCTGAAGCCTCAGGAGAAAAACTAAAGAGGATCCAGTTGGTTCGGAGGAAACTGTTGAGCTGAAACTGTTTTTACTCTTCAGGTAAAATACAAAGAGGCCAGTAAGAAGCAGAGTTCATCGTCTCTGTTCCACCGACTGCCTGAAACTCTGGAGATGCAACACGCCAAGGAGGCGACGCGTCTGCAGAGCCAGGTACGACAACGAGCTGCTGGAGACGTTGGGTTCTGGAAGGACTAAATCAGCTAAAGGGCCTGATGATCCTGCTATGTTGGATAACTTCGTCTCTTTTAGCTGCTCTATAAAGAAGGAGTGAAGAAGGAGCTGCAGTGTCCGGTTTACCACCAGCTTCCTGAAACTCTGGAGACGCAGTTCGCCCGCGAGGTCGGCCTCATGCAGAGCCAAGTAGGAGCCAACAGACCAGATCAGCTGATTACTAACATCCAACAGGAACCAGGAACAAATGGATCCGACAGGCAGAACCTTCAGAATAAATGCTTTTAAAATCAACCTTTGATTTGTGGTAAAAATCTGAATCTGTTCAGGAACAAACAGCAAAATATCAAATAAACATTAATATGATTTAATACATGCAGTGGAAACTCTTAGATTATATGTATCAGGAAATGAATCTTCAGATTTTATTTGCTGTTTTACTTTTATTGTTCCTGATTCTATAGATGGATTTGAAATTAAAATAAGAAACAATAATGAGGCAGGAAACATGATGAAGATGAGTGGAAACATCTTCAGGATGACAGCAGCTCCTGCATTTAATAACAATAATAATAATAACAATAATAATCATGTTCTTCTGACTGCAGCACAGATACACAGCGGAGGGGAAGCAGCTTCTCTCTCAGAGCGTTTTCTCTCAGCGGCCAGAAACCAGAGACATCAAGTCGGCTTTAGCCGCCGCTGAGCTGCAGAGCGAGGTGAGAGCAGAAACGTCTGGATCCATAGGAACGAGTCCGTCTTCATCACAACGCTGTGATGAAGACGCTGTGACGAAGACGCTGTGATGAAGACGCTGTGATGAAGACGCTGTGACGAAGACGCTGTGATGAAGACGCTGTGATGAAGACGCTGTGATGAAGACGCTGTGATGAAGACGCTGTGACGAAGACGCTGTGACGAAGACGCTGTGACGAAGACGCTGTGATGAAGACGCTGTGATGAAGACGCTGTGATGAAGAGTGAAGCTGCTGCAGGTTCTGACGGTTAAACTCTGTTTCAGAACAAGTACAAATCGTCGGGCCGACAGCAGGACGGCAGCAGCCTCTACTCTGTGATGCCAGAAACTCTGGAGACCCGACATGCCAAGCAGGTTTCTGAGATGCAGAGCCAGGTACACACACACACACACACACACACACACACACACACACACACACACACACACACTTAGAGAGGCTAACTATCCTGACTCATATTTCAGCCTACAGGAAGCTGGAGGACCCGGTGAGAACCTTCATGTTCTGGTTTTACAGTAGTTTGCTGCTGATTCTGTCTTATTATAAAGTTTATTTTTGTCAGCTTCCATAATGAGATGTTTGATGTGAAGCATTAAGCGTGATGCTGTGTGGTCCAGCCTGCAGGCTGCCTGAGCGTCCTGCTGTTCTTACCGCCTGCTTGTCGCCTGTCAGGTCCGGTATCAGTCGGACCTGAAGCAGCTGCAGTCCAGCTTGTTCTCCAGCCTTCCTCAGACGCTGCAGACCCAGCGGGCCAAAGAGGTGACCGACCTGCAGAGCCAGGTGAGCAGCTGGTCGTCTGCAGGTCAAACAGCAGAAACAATGAGATGAACCATGTGATCAAACGACATCATCATGTTTTAAAGTTCAGATCAATTTATCACCTAAAACCTCAAACTGCTTCCTCATCATTTCAACTTTTCATAACTTTTTATAATTCATTTTTATAATTTTCATTTGTATAACCAGAATAAAGAAATATGCTAAACGTGTCAGAAAGCAGATGGCATGAGGAGCTTCAGTTAAAACTCAGGTTAAACTCACAACATGACGTCATAAATGCTGGACTGTCTTTATTTTAGCTCAGTGATTCTCCTCATAATCAGGCTTTTCTTCTTCTACATTAAAATGAATGTCATGCCACCTAAACATTCTCAGTTCTTCTGGAGTTTTTCTCCACGTTATTTTTGCTTAAATGAATGAAGCCTCCCAGGTTTTCTGATTTATTTAATGCTGGAGACATTTGCTGGATGAGCTCAGCGTGTTGTCATGGTGTTGTGGCTGCAGGTGAAGTATAAGGCGGACCATCAGAAGGACTCGCCGTCTCTGTACCAGCAGCTCAGCGAGACGCCGGAGATGCAGCGGTCCCGGCAGGTTCTGGAGGTCCAGAGCGAGGTTTGGCTCGGCGCTCTGAAAGCTGCTGCAGCTCTCTGCTGCTGCTCTGCTGCTGCTCAGCTGCTGCTGTCCTGCAGGTGAAGTACAGGAAGGACCTGGAGGATCTGCCCGGCTCGCTGTTCGCTCTGCTGCCTGAAACCCTGCAGACGCAGTTCGTTAAGGAAATGGCCGAGACGCACAGCGAGGTGACAACCTGCAGCTTAACATCAGATCACATTTAAAAATACATTCAGAGCTTCAAACATGCTGACGTCTGATTGGTCTGCCGCTGATAAATCTGACCAATCAAGTCAGAGAACGCTGCAGCAGCAGATAGAGGTCAGAGGTCAGATGTGATAAGGAGGCTGACTGGTCCGTGTGTCCCGTCAGGTGAAGTACAAGCAGGCGGCGAAGGAGCAGGCAGCTTCATCTCTTTACTCCTCGCTGCCTGAAACCCTGGAGACCCGACACGCCAAAGACGCTGCAGCGCTGCAGAGCCGCGTGAGTTTCTGTCCCTGCTGCTCCTCCGCCTGACGCAACCGGCTCACCGGCCGACTGACGCCGTCGCTCTGATCTCCGTCTCCACAGAAAAAATACTGCGAGGAAGGAAGGAGGGAGATGAGCTGCCCTCTGTACGCCCAGCTGGCTGAAACAGCAGAAACTCAGTTTGCCAGAGAGGTTTCAGAAATCCAGAGCGAGGTACGGTTCTGACCTGATCGGGTTTCAGTTTGGCTACGACCCGGCCCAGAGGTCGTGACCTTCAGCCAGAAGAGCTGGGTTGTAAGGTTTCCTGGTACCGAGATGATCTCTGCTGTCGGGTCGATTCGGGTTTTGTCTGCAGTACTGATGGTTCTGCTCCCATCTGTAGAGCTGACCCGATAAGTAAAGGTCTGGATTCATTTGTGGTTCTGGATCCAAACGGCTGAAAAGTTCTTCCTCTGCAGCTTGTTGGACTCGGTATCAGAGACCCGAATCCTGGTTCAGACCAAACAACCAGAACCACTGTTTGCTCCGAATCTGGTCTTAGTCTGCTGGTCCGGTTCTGGTGTGAACACAGACCAGCTGCAGGTCCCAGAAGGATCTGGAGTTTGAGGAAACTCTGGGTTTCCTTCCTGAACAGCAACGTAGCAGCAACATGCTAAATAATCAGAGGTTTTCCTGCTTTTGGATCTTCAGAACAAATATAAGGAAGGAGGGAAGAAGATCCAGACGGTCAGCGTTTACTCTCAGCTCCCAGAAACCAACCAAACCCAGTTCGCTAAAACCGTTTCTGAGATCCAGAGTCAGGTGAAACCACAAGTTTTCTGAGATCAACCTGAACCTGAAATGTGTGTCTGTCACTTTAAATCCTGCTGTCGTGTTTCAGGTGAAATATAAAGAGTCAGGAAAAAAAGAAACGTCCAGCAGTTTGTACTCAAAGCTTCCTGAGACTCTGGAGACGCAGCATGCGAAAGACGCGACGCAGCTACAGAGCCAGGTCCGCTCCTTCATCGCTCGTCTTCATCACTCATCTTCATCGCTCGTCTTCGTCACTCGTCTTCGTCACTCATCTTCATCCCTCGTCTTCCTCGCTGACATCACTTTGTGTTTCCAGGTGAAGTACAAGCAGCCGCTCAGCGTCTCTCTGTTCCACCGCCTTCCTGAGACGACGGAGACGCGGCTCGCCAAGGAGCTCAGAGACGTTTACAGCCAGGTAAACCCTCAGCTGGGGCGCCATGGCCGTCGCTGTGGAGACGCTGCGCTCAGCTGTGATTGGTTGATTCCCTCAGGTGAAGTACAGAGAGGAGGGGAAGAAGGAGATGAGCAGGAGCCTTTACTCCCGCCTCCCGGAGACGGAGGAGACGCAGCGGGCCAGAGAGACGGCCGAGATCCAGAGCCAGGTGACCCTGAACGCATCACGCAGCTGCAGTCCGTCTGTTTCAATCAATCAGTTTCAATCAATCAGTTTCAATCAATCAGTTTCAATCAGTTTCAATCAATCAGTTTCAATCAGTTTACATTTTCTAAGTGTTAATATTTACATTGATGGATGAAATGTTTTAAATTTTGACATAAAAAATGTGCTTCAACATTAATAGTTAATGAATCTTCATAGTTTGTTGTATTTTGTTTGTCTCCTCATATTTGGACCTCTTACTATCAGAGGTTTATTAAATATATTTATGTCATCTTTCTGTCCTAGTCAAAGTACAGGAAGGACCTGGAGGATCTGCCCAGCCCTCTGTTCTCTCTGCTGCCTGAAACTCTGCAGACGCAGTTTGTTAAAGACATGAGCGAGACGCACAGCGAGGCGAGGGACAAATGTTTTTATTCATATTTCACCACAGAGTTTAGTTACAGAAATATCTGGTTCCTTTGTCAATTAGTAGAATTATGCCACATGTATTTGTTGGTTAGATATTTTTATTTCAATGTTTTGATGTACCTGCTCCTGCGTCCTGTGCAGGTTAAATACCGGGAGGCGAGCAGGAAGCAGAGCGGCGGCGCTCTGTTCCACCGGCTGCCCGACACGCTGGAGACGCGCCGCGTTAAAGACGTTACTGAGCTGCAGAGCCAGGTGAACACATGAATTATTCACCCTACGCTTCTCAGCCCTGAATATTTCAGCATAAAACATCAGAGCGGCTCGTTCCCATCGTTCCTTAGCAGAGTTCACTTGTTCTGGTTCAAAAACATTTTCTCTCTAAGTGAAGCTGCAGACAAACTAAAACAAACTGTGATGTCAGAATAGTTTCATTTCTCTACAGGCCTGTTAGTGAGAAGAACTGAACCAGAACCAAACATCTGGAGCTTCAACGCATTAAAACCAGATTCTGGAGAAAAACCTGAAACATAAAAATGACCTGAACAAATCCCACTGCTGTAGTTTGATGCATTAAAAATAATTCATGAATCGTCTGTTTTCATAAACAATGCAGCTGAGAATCATCTTTATCCTGCTTTAAACCCAGAGGTCTGAGGTCGGCGCCCTGTGGAACTCCATCCATGTCAAACTGTCTCATTACTGGGTTTAAATCGGTTCCTTTAATTCAGGAAAGGTGTATAGTCAAAGTCCAGATCTTAACGAACTCAGCCGGTGAACTTCTGTTTGTGTTGCAGTTTAAATACAAGCAGAGCGGCAAGAAGTTCCTGTCGTCTAGTTTCTACGCTCAGCTGCCAAAGACCGCAGAGACGGAGCTCGCCGCCAAGATGGCCGACCTGCTGAGCGAGGTGAAAGGTCACACCCTGGTCTCTGATGGCTGGTGGAAACGGTTCCTGATTCGTCTTTTCCTGCAGAACAAATACAAAGAGGACGGCGTGAAGAGCCGCTCGCGCAGCCTCTACGCCCAGCTGCCGGAAACCAGCGAGATCAACTTCGCTAAGACAGTTTCTGAGCTGCAGAGCGAGGTGAGAGCGACTCAGACCGGACCAGAGTCCACTTCCTGAACAGAGTCCACTTCCTGAGCAGAGTCCACTTCCTGTCTGAACGTCTGACCGATGACGCTTCGTCCAGGTTAAATACAAGGAGGCCAGCAGGAAGGAGGCGGGCAGCTGTCTGTACCAGCGGCTGCCTCAGACTCTGGAGACTCAACATGCCAAGGAAGCCGCACAGCTGCAGAGTGAGGTACAGAGGGAACCGGGCCAGAACCAGCAGAACCTCAGGAGGTTCTGATCTGCAACCAACAGTTACACAGCTCAGGGCTGTCACTGAAATTAAAGGTCAAAGGTCGTTATTTTGACCTCTGATCCAAACTCATCTGAATCCACATCCGATGAGGCGCAACGCCTCGGATGTTTATGACGTTGCATTTGGTTTTACTTTTCCTGCTGTTCTGATCCGGTTCAGAGATTTTTCAGATGGTTCCGGTTCTGGTTCCAGTTCTGGTCCTGGTTCCGGTTCCGGTTCTGGTTCTGGTTCTGGTTCCGGTTCTGGTTCTGGTCCTGGTTCCGGTTCCAGTTCCGGTTCCGGTTCTCTGCAGCCAGCTGAGTTGCTTCCGTCTGCAGGTGAAGTACAGAGAAGGGAGGAAGGAGCTGAGCTGCAGCCTGTTCTCTCTGCTGCCTCAGACGGATGAGGTGAAGTTCTCCAGAGCCGTGATGGAGCTGCAGAGCGAGGTGAGCTGAGCGACTGCAGCTCACAGTTCAACTGTTTAAACAAAACTTTGTCTGGTTGCAGAATAAATACAAGCAGAAAGGCAGACAGGAGATCAGCAGCACCGTTTTCCATCAAATGCCTGAAACCAAAGAGACGCAGTTCGCCAAGCAGATGTCAGAAATACACAGTGAAGTACGACGGTCGGACATTTAATGCGTCGTTCACAGCATGTAGAAACAGGATATTAATTCATATTTCTGATTGGTGGTTCTGACAGTACAAGAAGGACCTGGAGGATCTGCCCAGCTCTCTCTTCTCTCTGCTGCCTGAAACTCTGCAGACGCAGTTTGTTAAAGAAATGAGCGAGAAGCACAGCGAGGCGAGTTCACACCCAGGAACTTCATAAACATTTACATCACATTACAATCTGCTCATCTCTCTGACTGCTTCTATAAAATATGATTCCATTATTCATTCTGATGATGTTGGTTAGGAAACAGGATTTCAGAGAAACACTGAATGTTTCATGAGATTTTTTCTGCTTTTGTTTTTCAGAGTAAGTACAAGGAGGCCAGCAGGAAGGAGCTGGTTCACTCTCTGTACTCTCAGCTTCCTGAAACCAAAGAAACTCAACATGCGAAGGAGCAAACTCAGCTGTGCAGCGACGTACGTTTCAGTCTGCTGCTCTGCATCTTCCAGGCCACTGGCTTCTCCAGGAGCTTCTTGTCTTGTCGGTCTGTTGCAGAAAGCGTACAGGGAGGAGGGGAAGAAGGAAGCGGGTCGCTGTCTGTACGCCCAGATGCCCCAAACCATCGAAACCGTCTTCGCCAAGGAGGCGACCAAGACGCTGAGCGAAGTAAGAAACTGAACATTTAAAGTCCTGATTTGCTGGATCGGATTCAATAAACATTATCATTACTATTATTATTATTATTATTATTATTATTATTATTATTATTAATATATTATTATTGTTATTATATTATTATTATTATTATATTATTAATATTATTATTATTAATAATATTATTATTATTGTTATTATTATTATTATTATTATTATTATTATTATTAATATTATATTATTATTATTATATTATTATTATTATTATTATCATTATTAATGTTATTATTATTGTTCCTGATTTGATTGATTCAAACGTCTGATGGAACATCGACATGCTGGACGTTAGCGAAACGTTTCCTAATTAAACTCCAGCTAATTAAACATGAACTCCCCCCTCCATCTCCCCGCCTCGTTAGCGCCCCCCTTGGGGGAAAAGCATCGCCTGACATGAACAAGTTCACAGAGAGATCTGTGGTGAATGCTGTGGGGCAGATGGAGGGTTTTTATTTGCCCCTCCCCCGGTGGGGGTGTGATGAGAGCTCTGGTGTTGTTCAATCTGCAGAAGTGTGAAAACAGCAGCTGCTGCTGCCTGGAGGCTCAGATCTGACCTCCTGACCCCAACCCAGACGCATGGCAGCGCGGCTCACACATGAAAGGTTTTATTGAAGACATTAAATCGTTTATTTAAAATGTGGAACATCAATCATGTCAACACTGATCTGAGCTGCAGCTCCTCACATCATGACGGCCGTTTGGTTGCTCTGGGTGAACTGGGTGAACTGGGTGATCTGGGTGATCTGGGTGAACTGGGTGAACTGGGTGAACTGGGTAAACTGAGTGAACTGGGTGAACTGAGTGAACTGGGTGATCTGGGTGAACTGGGTGAACTGGGTGAACTGGGTGATCTGGGTGATCTGGGTGAACTGGGTGAACTGGGTAAACTGAGTGAACTGGGTGAACTGAGTGAACTGGGTGATCTGGGTGAACTGGGTGAACTGGGTGAACTGGGTGATCTGGGTGATCTGGGTGAACTGGGTGAACTGGGTGAACTGGGTGATCTGGGTGAACTGGGTGAACTGGGTAAACTGGGTAAACTGAGTGAACTGGGTGAACTGAGTGAACTGGGTGATCTGGGTGAACTGGGTGAACTGGGTGAACTGGGTGATCTGGGTGATCTGGGTGAACTGGGTGAACTGGGTGAACTGGGTGAACTGAGTGATCTGGGTGAACTGGGTAAACTGGGTGATCTGGGTGAACTGGGTGATCTGGGTGAACTGGGTGAACTGGGTGAACTGGGTGAACTGGGTGATCTGGGTGAACTGGGTGAACTGGGTAAACTGGGTAAACTGAGTGAACTGGGTGAACTGAGTGAACTGGGTGATCTGGGTGAACTGGGTGAACTGGGTGAACTGGGTGAACTGGGTGAACGGGGTGAACTGGGTGAACTGGGTGAACGGGGTGAACTGGGACGGAGGCCTGATGCGTTTCTGGTTCCAGGTCAGCTGACTGAGCGATGCGTCACCAACTGGAGCGTAACATCAGAGCCTCTGTCTGCGTCTCCAGGCGGATTTAAACTGTCATCTCTGATCGCTTGAAGCCCATCAGCCAATCACAGCCTGCGTCTCATTCTGCAGAAATCCTACAAGGAGAAGTTCAACCGTGAGAGGGGGCGGAGCGACTACAGCAGCATGAAGACGCTGCCGGAGGTGGAGCACGCCGTGGAGGTCGCCAAGAAGCAGAGCCATGTAAACACGCCGTTTCCACGGCAACACACACGCGCACGCCGCCGCAGCGCGGACGGCGTTCTGACGTCTTCGCCTGCCGCCGGCTCTGACCTCAGGTCGGCTACAGGACAGGCAGAGAGGAACTCCACCGCTACAACCCGGCGCCCGACCGGCCCGACATCATCAGCGCCGCCAACGCAGCCAAGCTGGCCAGCGACGTGAGTCCGCCGCGCCGTCCCATCATGCTCTGCTCTAGTTCCCATGACAACAGGGGAAGATTCATTATAGAGGACGCTGAAGACGAAATCGAGTCCATGAATGTTCAGGAGCCGTCAGTCAGCTGGAGGTGTGTCCTCAGGTGTTCAGGTCTGTCCTCAGGTGTCCAGGCCTGTCCTCAGGTGTTCAGGTCTGTCCTCAGGTGTTCAGGTCTGTCCTCAGGTGTCCAGGCCTGTCCTCAGGTGTTCAGGTCTGTCCTCAGGTGTTCAGGTCTGTCCTCAGGTGTCCAGGCCTGTCCTCAGGTGTCCAGGCCTGTCCTCAGGTGTTCAGGTCTGTCCTCAGGTGTTCAGGTTGGTCCTCAGGTGTTCAGGACTGTCCTCAGGTGTTCAGGCCTGTCCTCAGGTGTTCAGGTCTGTCCTCAGGTGTCCAGGTCTGTCCTCAGGTGTTCAGGTCTGTCCTCAGGTGTCCAGGTCTGTCCTCAGGTGTCCAGGCCTGTCCTCAGGTGTTCAGGTCTGTCCTCAGGTGTTCAGGTTGGTCCTCAGGTGTTCAGGTCTGTCCTCAGGTGTTCAGGTCTGTCCTCAGGTGTTCAGGTCTGTCCTCAGGTGTTCAGGTTGGTCCTCAGGTGTTCAGGTCTGTCCTCAGGTGTCTAGGTCTGTCCTCAGGTGTCCAGGTTGGTCCTCAGGTGTTCAGGTCTGTCCTCAGGTGTCCAGGTTGGTCCTCAGGTGTCCAGGTTGGTCCTCAGGTGTTCAGGTTGGTCCTCAGGTTTCCAGGTCTGTCCTCAGGTGTCCAGGTCTGTCCTCAGGTGTTCAGGTCTGTCCTCAGGTGTTCAGGTCAGTCCTCAGGTGTTCAGGTCTGTCCTCAGGTGTTCAGGTCAGTCCTCAGGTGTTCAGGTCTGTCCTCAGGTGTTCAGGTTGGTCCTCAGGTGTTCAGGTATGTCCTCAGGTGTCCAGGTCTGTCCTCAGGTGTCCAGGTTGGTCCTCAGGTGTCCAGGTCTGTCCTCAGGTGTTCAGGTCTGTCCTCAGGTTTCCAGGTCTGTCCTCAGGTGTTCAGGTCTGTCCTCAGGTGTTCAGGTCTGTCCTCAGGTTTCCAGGTCTGTCCTCAGGTGTTCAGGTCTGTCCTCAGGTGTTCAGGTTGGTCCTCAGGTGTTCAGGTCTGTCCTCAGGTATTCAGGTCTGTCCTCAGGTGTCCAGGCCTGTCCTCAGGTGTTCAGGTCTGTCCTCAGGTGTTCAGGTCTGTCCTCAGGTGTTCAGGTCTGTCCTCAGGTATTCAGGTCTGTCCTCAGGTGTTCAGGTCTGTCCTCAGGTGTTCAGGTCTGTCCTCAGGTGTTCAGGTCTGTCCTCAGGTGTTCAGGTCTGTCCTCAGGTGTTCAGGTTGGTCCTCAGGTGTTCAGGTCTGTCCTCAGGTGTTCAGGTCTGTCCTCAGGTGTTCAGGTCTGTCCTCAGGTGTTCAGGTCTGTCCTCAGGTGTTCAGGTCTGTCCTCAGGTGTTCAGGTCTGTCCTCAGGTATTCAGGTCTGTCCTCAGGTGTTCAGGTCTGTCCTCAGGTGTTCAGGTCTGTCCTCAGGTGTTCAGGTTGGTCCTCAGGTGTTCAGGTCTTTCCTCAGGTGTTCAGGTCTGTCCTCAGGTATTCAGGTCTGTCCTCAGGTGTTCAGGTCTGTCCTCAGGTGTTCACGTCTGTCCTCAGGTGTCCAGGCCTGTCCTCAGGTGTTCAGGTCTGTCCTCAGGTATTCAGGTCTGTCCTCAGGTGTTCAGGTCTGTCCTCAGGTGTTCACGTCTGTCCTCAGGTGTCCATAAATTCATGAATTTATTGATGTTTCTATTTTCCTTTCCAAGCAGTCAGACTTCTTCAGGGTTCCTCATGAATCCTGTAGAAAGATTAAAACAGAGTCTGGCTGCCTGGAGGGAACCAGACCAGTGTCAGAACCGGATCAGAACCTGCTGTGACCCACAGGTTGCCTATAAGCGCGGCGCCAAGCAGCCGGCCTACAGCGATGGATCCGTCCTGGACAGAACCGACATCCTGCACGCCACGCAGGCCTCCAGGCTGGCCAGCCAGGT